TTGCATAGTATTCCATTGTGTGTATGTACCATAGTTTGGTTATCCATTCCTCCGTTGATGGACACCTAGGTTGTTTCCATCTTTTGGCTATTGCAAGTAGTGCTGCAATGAACATGGGTGTGCATATATATGTGGGAAAACATTTTTAAAGCATGTGCTACATGTCAAACTTTCTCAGCAAGGTGCCCTGAAACTGAAAGTTTTGGCAGTTTGAACTCATCCAGTGGCTCCATGGTAGAAAAACCTGGTGATCTGCTTCCTTAAATATTACAGGCAAGAAAACGCTCTGCGACAGTTCTACTCCATCACATGGGATTGCTATAAGTCAAAATTGACTCAATGGTACTAACAACAACAACCTGGAAGATACTCATTTCAAGGCACCCATATTTTGGTGTCCAGTCTCCCCTTTGGAATTCTTTCTACTTTGGTAGATTAAATATGATGGTGCAGTGGTTAAAACATTCAGCTGCTTAACAAAATGTCAGCAGTTCACTTACCAGCCACTCTGCTGGAGAAAGATGAGGCAGTCTGCTTCCATAAAGATTTACAGCCTTGGAAAGCCTATGCAGCCTCTGTCCGAGAGGGTGGCTATACCCACTAGCCACTCCTCAGAAGGAAAGTTGGGCAATCTACTTCCGTAATAATACCACCTCAGAAACCCAAGGAGGGGTCACCATGAATCGGGTCTGACTCGATGGCACATAACAACAATAACAACAATGCATTGGAATCGACTTAATGGTGTTTTTTTTTTTTTAATTATTGTTTCAATGTTGCCTATTAATGATCGTTTTTTATTGCTGTAAATATATATAACATCATTTGCCAATTTATTTTTCATGTGTACAATTTAGTGACATCAATTACATTAATCATGTGCAACCATCACCAATATTCAAAGTCAAATTTTCTACCATCATAAACAGAAACTCAGTGCTTCCTAAATAGGAATACCTCCTCTCCCATCAACACAATAAACTTTGGTGTCTATGCATTTGTCCATTCTAGATATTTCATATGAATGAGATCATATAATATGTGTCCCTTTATGACTGATTTATTTCACTCAGTATGTTTCCAAGGTTCATCCATACTTCAGGACTTTATTTCTCTTATCAGCTGAGCAATAGTTCACTTAGTGTATTTTTAATTAGTTGTCTAAAATTTTATATAACCTGTTGCCATCCAGTTGATTCAGACTCATGGTGACCCCATGTCATACAGAGTACAACTGCTCCATTGGGTTTTCTTGGCTGGAATCTTTATGGAAGGAGATCAAGAGGCCTTTCCTTCAGGCATCTGGGCAGGTTCCAACAGTCAACTTTTAGATTAGTGGAACTTAAATTGTTTGCACTGCCCAGACACCTAAAATTTTATTTTAGTAGGGTATAGTAATTTTCCCTTCTTTGCACTTTGCCTTTAACTGGATTTAGTTACTGTTGTCAAAACTTGTTGCCCTTGTTGAAAAAAAGTCTGAAAACATTTTGCCCCTTTAAATTCGTCTTTTTTTTTTTTTTTTTTTAACTCTCAAACGCAGCGACAATGGCGCAATGAGGAGCAGAGTCTATTTAAGAAAGGAGTCTAGAAGACCAGGCCTGGACGTCCTCAAATACTTTATTTTTTGTCGGATGGCCCGTGGCTCTGCACTTGAGATGGTGGCAGCAGCACTCCGACGCCCCTTGAGTCCTGCAATCCCAGGTCGCCTTGGGAAGTGTCGCCAAGTCGAGCAGCCGCTCCGCCCGTCCGGCACAGGCGGGTCCCAGTTTACTATGGCGCTTTCTAAGCGTGGCCGCGGGCTAACCAAAGGATCCTTCTCTCCTAATAAAACCTGCTTCCTCTTCCAAGGCCCAAATCGGTGGGAAGGACGTTCTCATGGGGCAGCCCACCTCTCGCTCTTTCGTCTCCTTGGACCTCCAAATTCTGGAAGCGTCGCTGCCCACACTTTATCTGGCTTGCGCTGAGTTCGAGCCCCGGCGTTGGGGCGTCCCGGGGCGCCCTAGTCCAGCGCTGCAGCCGGCAGCGCCAGTTCACGAGAGGTCCGAGGCTCCTATAGCTGTCCCAAACCTGTTTTAGAGAGGAACCAGCACCCCAAGGGCTGGGGGGGGGGGCGGTGCAGGAGCATGGGGAGAAGCTGGGGACCCCTTTCCTCCGGCAGCCCCAACCCCGAAGAGAGCGCATTAGACTGAAGGCCCGCGGCCCACGCCTCTCCTACGCCTCCTCCCGGGGCTCCCAGTGTAGGTTCCTGTTGCCCCCTCCCCAAGTTTCTTCACCCCTCTGGGAGCCCCCACCTCGTTTTCCCACGTCCCCTCTCCACCCCTGGCCCAGGTTCCACAAGTCGCCTCATCCGCCTTCGCCCGCAGCTCCCCCTACTCCAGCTTGATCCTCCCCATCCTTGACTTCCCCCGTCCCTTTCCGGAGCTTCTCTTGTCTCCTCTCCGCCCCCACCCCGTATTCCCGCGTCCCCTCCCCGTCCCCTTTTTAAACCTTGAGCCGAACGCGCGGGTGAGTGCCCGCCTTGGCTGGAGCTGGAAAGGGGCGGCCGTCGTCGCTGGCGCGGCTAGAGCAGCGCGGACTCAGCGGGCGTTATGAGACCTGAGGCGGCAGCAGGAACCCAGGAAGCGCGCGGGCGCAGCTGTCACTGTCCCAGAGATGGTACCGGAAGGGCACCGCAGCCGCTCGGGCCCGAGAGGTGAGGGCTTCCCCACCGCTCCGGTGGAAAGGCGCGCGTCCGTCGGTGCAGAAACCTAAGCTAGCTGCTGAGCGCCCGAGCCCGACCGCGACACCAAGCCAATTCCTTAGCCAGTGACCGAAGGGGGCGCGGAATCTGTCGATTCCACTGCACAATTCACAAGTGCGGAGGCTTTGGCCGTACCTGGAGAGGAAATGAGCCACGCTTCACGTTATAGAAGATTTTTAATTCACCGGGCTGGGGAAGGAAACACTAAGTCCGGGGCCTCTAAGCAAGACTTGCAAGGGTGTCCCCCAAGTTTACTGTCACCAAAAAGGTCTTCCGTGTTCTGGAGGCTTGGCATTCTCTATCCTCGGGGAACCAACCCTTTTTAAGGTTGTAAAATTTGTTGTTGTTGTTGTTAAATCAAATTAGATGTGAACAGGTGGAATGATCAATGGCAGTTAGAACCTCTACCAAGGGCAGAGTGGGTGAGGCAGCCAGGGAAAACAGATCCTCTCTTGTTTGCACCATAGAACTTAATAGAGTAATCATTCTTCAAAAAACCAAAAAGGTGTAATTTAAATTAGCAGTGACAGAGTAGCCTGCCCCCACTGCCAGCTACAGAAGGGAACCCTGAATTGAAGTGGAGAGATTCCTCCAACAATGTGTCCCCTGATAACCGTGTTAGTTGTTGTTTGCCGTCGAGTCAGATCCGACTCATAGCGACCCCTCCTTGGGTTTCCGAGGCAGTATCACTATGAAAGTAGATTGCCCCATCTTCCTTCCGAGGAGTGGCTGGTGGACTTGAACCGCCAGCCTTCTGGTTAGCAGTCAAGTGCCGTAGCCACTATGCTACCAGAGCTCCCCGTGTTAGATTTGGGACTTATTCCTAAAGCCAAATGAAGGCAGAAAATTGGGAACATGCCCAGGAGAGAAAACCAAAAATGGTCTAGTTTACCTACAGGCTCAGAACTTAAAGGAATATTCTAGAGTGACTCTTTTTTAGGCAGATATTAGAAGTGATCAGAATGATAACTCTTGCCTCACTCTCTCATGATCCTTGCCTTCCCAGCTCCACACCCTGGAGACCTTGGAGCCCCACATCTAGAGATACTGAACTGATGGGAACCAGAACACAGGTAAGGTTAAGTGTGAGTGTTGTAGGTATCAACCGATCTCACCAAAAAGTGGTCAAAAAGACCTCCTCTGCCCACTTGGTGATCCAACCCAAGACTACCTGGGGTCTGGGAGGGGGAGCCAGGATGAGCTCAGATAATCACAGCTGAATCCCACATAGACTGGGTTCCTGCTTGCTTCCTTTTTGAAAAGAAACAAGCTGTTTCTATGTGAAATACAAAGAATTTTTTTCCATTTTGGGTTTTCTTCTGTAAACCTGCTGGTAAGTGGGGCAGAAAAAAGGTTGTGGCTGCCTTCCTCCCCCCACCTTTGAGAAAAGCTAAGTGCACTATTAGTGCCTGGCTGGTGTCGCAATGCAAATAAGGGCAGAGCCCCATCTGGGTTGCCCAGAAGATGCAGGTTAAAAGCCCCACCAGCCGTCTGGCCCTTTCTGAGAGCACTTTCGGCACTGTTTGCAAGTGCTCCTGGGATAACTCATGTTGTCTCAGCAAATACACTCAGGCCCAGGACTTTGTGGGTGAAGATTAATAGCCACCACTATTCTTTTGTTAGTCTGCATTGGCAACACAGTTACTTTATACTATGACTCGCTTTTACAGAATTTACCTCTCCTTTGTCATCTTTTAAAAATAAATGGATGACTTTCAAAATGCAGACTAGTTAATCTGGAAAGACCATGTATTTCATTTACATAACACATGTGGCTTATGGTTTAGTGTGTAGTTATCGGTAACAGGTTAAGAAAATTCTGGTGCAGTAGAGCAGACCTTCACTGTATTTGGATATTTTGGCTACTTTATCAAACTGATATGAATATTGAGAATTTTAGTTATTTTTATTATATACTTTAAAGAATGAAACAAAGAAAATATATCTCAAATTAACAAGGTCCTTGTTAGCCTCAATTATTCTTATGTATAATGTCTTCTTTTGGGTTCAAGGTTAAACTCTTAAACATAAGATTTAAAAGGAGCTTGGAGGGAGAGATAGGGAGAGAGAGAGAATATGGAAATCTACATCTATCCAGTTTTCTTTTCAATGAAATATATGTGGGACCTATCAGTTGTTTGTAAAAATAAAAATATTATAGCACATTTTCTATTGTAGGACAGATTTTCGCCCCTATTGTGAAGACAAAGGAGTTCTGGCAGCATAGTGGTTAAAGCATTCAGCTGCTAATCAAAAGGTTGACAGTTTGAACTTACTGGCTGCTCTTCGGAAAAAGATGAGGAAGTCTGCTTCTATAAAGATTTACAGCCTTCGAAACCCTATGGGGCAGTTCCCCTCTGTCCTAAAGGGTTGCTATGAGTCAGAATTGATGCAATGGCAGCGGATTTGGTTTGGTTTATTATGATGACAAGGCTATATGTGAGAAAAATCAAGATTACTTGCAGAAAAACATTAGGCTGTAGCAATGTTCTAGTTGCTTGTCAGCATGGCAAAGTGGATGGATCAGTGTGTTCATGGATTTTTGCGGAGAGAAAGCCAGGGGTTCTGTGGTGTTTGTAGAGCTGGCTCCCCACTACCCCTGACAAGCCCTTTGAGGAGCAGAACTGGCCTGGCTGAGTGGTCAGTGTATGATGACCACAGGCCCTATGAACCTGTTTGGTGTCCCCCGCAGGGTGAGTGCAGCCCTCACACAAGGGCAGGAACAATTTTGATCAACAGCTACCTATCCCCACAAAGCAGGAGAATTCCTCTGCTTCAGAGCCTTGTTTATTTCTGGGGAATATCATTAGCAGACATGGCATCTCAAGGTCCTATGTTCTGAGCAGTGGGATCACCCCACTCTTCACCCTGACCCACTTAGTATTCTAGCACCCTAGGGAGCTGCCTCTCTCCCCTACGTGGGAAAAATAACAACCATGTAAACCCTTCTTGCCTCTGTTGCTTTTCCCTCTGGCCATTGGCCGGCCTACAAGGGAGTGATTTCCTGGAGGAAGTCAGGCACGGTCCTCACATCTCCAGGCTACTTACTAGCCTTAGTCCATGAGGGCAAGACCCTTACTGTCTCTACTGGTATCTGTTCTCTCACTCTTAAGAACAGACACACACAACATTCCTTAACCACAGTGCTTACTCTGGGTGGTACAAGTGGTTTACAATTGGCTGCTAACCTAAAGACACGATTTAAATCCACCAAGAGGCTCAAGGATGAAAGGACTGGCAACCTGCTTTTGTAAAGATTACAGCCAAGAAAACTATATGGAGCAGTTCTACTCTGTAACACATGGGGTTACCATGAGTTGGAACTGACTCCATAGCAATGTGTTTGTTTGTTTTAACCTTACATACATTCCTGTTCCCTTTTAACTATCAAAGTGAGACTATTTAGCCATCGCTGCTATCAGGGAAAAAAAACAAAATAAAAAAACTCACTGCCATTGAGTCAGATCCAACTCATAGTGACCCCTCGTCGGGTTTCTGAGGAGGTTGGGTTTCTGAGGAGGTATCACTATGGAAGTAGATTGCCCAACCTTCCTTCTGAGGAGTAGCTGGTGGGTTTGGACCGCCGGCCTTCTGGTTAGCAGTCAAGTACCTTAAGCACTATGCTACCAGAGCTCTTCCTGCCATCAGAAGGGATCTTTAATAAGATCTTTTGGAAAATAATCAGAATATTGTTACCATAAAGTTTTTTTTCTTTCATTGTGGTGAAATATATATAACAAAACGTTTGCCATATCAACCATTTTTATGTGCATGTATAAAGTGTTTAAAATATGTAAAGGTGAGTATATTTCATAGGGTCTAGTTAGGAGTCCTGGTAGCTTAGTGTCTAAGGCATTTGACTGCTAACTAAAAGGCTGGTGGTTCAAACCCACCAGCCACTCCTCAGAAGGAAGATGGGGCAATCTACTTCTGTAGTGATACTGCCTTTGAAACCCAAGGAGGGGTCGCTATGAGTCAGGTCTGACTCAATGGCACATAACAACAACAACAGTTAGGAGTCCCTGGGTGACTCAACTACAATACTAGCTGAAAGGTGACCTACCCAGTAATGCCTCAGAAGACAGGCCTGGTGATCTGCCTCAGAAAAGTCAAAGCCTTACAAACTCTGGAGCAGTTCTACTCTGCATGTGTGCGGTTGCCATAAGTTGGGATCAACTCACTGGCAACTACTAATAACAAAAGTTAGAATCAAACCCTTAGAGGAAGCTACTCATTCTCTGTTCCTCTAACACTGCCTATTAGTGCCCACCAACGTTTTCATTGTAGCATTAGACTCTATGCCATCAAAGTGTAGAACCACCTCCAGCAGCACAGGTTGCCTGTGGTGGTAGAATGAACCTGAGCGATTAATTGTTGTTGTTGTTGTTATGTGCCGTCGAATTGGATCTGACTCATAGTGACCCCTCCTTGGGTTTCCGAGGCAGTATCACCATGGAAGTAGATTGCCCATCTTCCTTCCGAGGAGTGGCTGATGGGTTTGAACTGCCAGCCTTCTGGTTAGCAGTCAAGTGCCTTAGGCACTACGCTACCAGAGCTCCCAACTCTACTTCTGGCCAAATCCATTCAGGTCCAGCATCCTCAAGAGTTTGGGCAGAATGTGCTCATCCCTGGCCAGGTTTTGTGGTGGTATCCCTCCAAGATATGTTGAAGTGCTGACCCCTGTACCTGTAAATATGACCTTGTTTGGAAACAGGGTCTTTGAAGATGTCATCAGTTAAATTAACATTAATACTGGAGCTGTTGTTGTTATTGTTGTTATGTGCCGCCGAGTCAACCCTGACTCATAGCGACCCCTCCTTGGGTTTCCGAGGCAGTATCACTACGGAAGTAGGATTGCCCAACCTTCCTTCCGAGGCATGGCTGGTGGGTTTGAACCGCCAGCCTTCTGGTTAGCAGTCAAGTGCCTTAGCCACTATGCTACCAGAGCTCCCAATACTGGAGTAGGTGGGACCTAATCCTGTATGACTGGTGTTCTTATAAAAGAGTAGAGACACAGAGACAGGAAGACAGAGGAAAGATGCCACGTGACTCTGCAGCAGCAAGCCAAGGAATACCTGGGGCTACCAGAAGCTAGGAGAGAGTCATGGAACAGATTCTCCTTTAAAGTCTTGAAGGAATCAACATGTCTAACATCCTTAATTCAGATTTCCAGTCTCCAGAACCTTGAGACAATAAATTTCTGTTCTTATAAGCCACATACTTTGTGATATTTTGTTACTGCAACAACAGGAGACCTACACAGAATCTTACTGTCTTAGTCTTAGTATTATGTGTAGTTATTTGCATATAATCATGTCTCTTCCCTTCTAGACTGTGAAAGTGAAGGACTGCATCATACTCACCTTCCACTGTTGAATCCCTCACAGTGCCCAGGACATTGAACAGAGACAACAGGAATGGGAAGGGGAGCTTATAAAATACTATTTAGATTGTAAATGGTCTCAAAAATTAGTACTGACAGTGAAAAATGGAGACTACTTAAAAACTCAGGACGAATCCTTTCCTTAACTCTGAGTTTATATGTATCTGTCTTTACAGTTTGAGCCTGGAGGTGATCAACAAACTTTTGGATCGAAGGGGGCCTTTGGGTTTCAGCATCCTGTAAGGTAACACATAACTTCACAGACAATTTCCTTTTACCCTAAATATCACTATATGCTACTGTGTGTGTTTTCAACAATGTGAAAAAATAATTCAGTATATTTTCTCAGATACGACTTAGTTTTCTTATTCCAAGGAAGTTCAAGGGTATTTTGTTGGGTTTCTGGAATCCGTTCATTTATTCACTCATCAGTTTTCAGTTCCAAGTTGGAATTGGCCTCTCTTTTTCATTGATATCTTTTGTTTACACCTCCCATTACATATTATGCCTTGTGTTAAGTTTATTTAAGGAGCTCTAGTGGTGCAGTGGTTATGGCATTTGGCTGCTAACCAGAAGGTTGGCAGTTCAAACCCTAGTTCAAACCCTGCCTGTGGGAGGAAGTTGAGGTAATCTATTTCTGTTCTGGTTACCTAGTGCCACTCTGACAGGAATATATACCACAAATGGGATGGCCTTAACAAACAGGAGTTTATTCTCTCATAGTTTGGAGACTTTAAGTCCAAGTTCAAAGTGCCAGGCTCTAGGGGCTGGCTGAAAGCCCCTCAACCTTAGGGTCCAGCTCTGCCTCCTGCTCCCAGCCCACTGGAGCTAGAGGCATTTCTTCACTCAGACAGCTACTGGCTGCTGAGGCTGAGAAACCAAAGGTTGACAAGTAAAAAGGCACAGTCCTGATGTTACCAAACCACACGGCAGGCCGTTAATTTAAGACCATTGTAAGTCCCAAGGTCTGCAGGGCATGGCAGGTTGCTGAACAATGATACAGCTACATGCAGGGTCCAAGCGTGTCATAAGCTAGAGACCATTCCCCAAGGCTTCTCCTTATATACAGGAAGCAGACCACATTCCTAAGGTAGCTACTCAGCTGCTCACAGTAGATTCACCATGGAGTTGATTACCAGCCTCATCATGGGGAATACTACATCCAGCTGCCCAGCACTCAGCCAGGCCCAGCCAAGTTGACACATAAACCGAACTACCACAACTTCCATAAAGATTTATAGCCTTGGAAACCCTAAGGGTCACTATGAATTGTAATCGACTCAGTGACAGTCGGCTTTTCTGGATTAAATTTAGTGTATATGAATCATATATGCATATACATTTATTTATTTATTTAGATGTTTTATTTCATGTCTATTTCTCTCCCACAGATACAAGCTAACATATTGTCAAGCACATAAAAAAATAAAAATAAAAAAACCAAGCTAGTTGCTGTTGAGTCAGTTTCAATTCATGGTGACCCCCTATGTGTCAGAGTAGAACTGTGCTCCATAAAGTTTTCAATGGCTGATTTTTTGAAAGTAAATTGCCAGGTCTTTCTTCTGAGGTGCATCTAGGTAGACTCGAACTTCCAACCTTTTGTTTAGTAGCCAAGCAATATAACTGTTGCACAATTCATGGACCTTCAAAAAAACGTGCTGGGTGTCTAGTACATCTGTGTTAAATATTTGGTGCTAGATTATTACTTACACTTGGTCTTCTCCTGATGTATTCAAAAGTACCCACTGTTGTTAAAATTGTGCCACTGTTTTCTTGTTTGTAAAATGAAGCTAAAATAATCAGTACTTCACAGGTTTATTTCAAGGCTTAAATGAGCTAATATATGTAAAATATATGTAATATGTAGTATATATAAAATAATATATGTAAAACACTTAGAACACTGCCCAGGACATAATATATGTTCTTTATTATTATTATCATAATGATTATTATATTTATTAACTTACATTGAGCAGATCTGAATATTTTGTGCATTAATGGTCAGTTGATATACTCAACACATTTTCTTATATTATTTAAACATAAACTACACTTAAACCAGAAAAAAAACAATTCACTGCCATTGAGTCAATTCTGACTCATAGCAATCCCTGTTGGGTTTCCAAGGCTGTAAATCTTTATGAAAGCAGACCACCTCATCTTTCTGCCATGGAGCAGCTGGTGGGTTCAAACCCCCAACCTTTTGGTTAGCAGCAAACGCCTTAACCACTATACCAACAGAACTCCTTACACTTATACTTACACACACAGAATGTTTTGCCTAAATGAGAGATTGGCTGGATGGCTCCACCACAATCAGTCCTAAGCACATCTGTGAGAGCATTTTCCTCTGCTCTCTCTCATTACTGTGTTCATGGTCCAGGATCAGGACCATCATTGTTGTATCTTCCTGTACCCTTGTTCCCTGTATATGTACATTTCATCATTTTAGTCTAGTGGCGCTTGTTCAGGATCTTTATCTGCCTCTCTGTCTCTGTTTTTCTCATTCCTTTCACTGAAATTAACCCAGTCTATGCTATCAACTTTGGCTGCTAAATGAAAGATTGGAGGTTCAAGGTACCTTGGAAGAAAGGCCTGGTAATCTGTATCTGATGATCAGCCACTGAAAACCCTGTGGACCACAGTTCTACTCTGACACATATGGGGTCATCATGAGTTAAGTCAGTTCAATAGCAACTTTTTTCTTTTCTGATTTTATTATTATTTTTTAAATTTTTGCAGTGTTTCCTCCCTTCCCCTCCCACCCTTCGTAACTGACAAAGAAAGTTTCCTTCCCTACATAAACCTTTCCTTGGCTTTTTACAATAATGAACTAATACAATATTTGCCCATCTGTGATGACTTATTTCTCTCAGCATAATATCCTCCAAGTTAATATTAACTGGTTTTATGCTGCTACCACACTAAGGGTATTTTTATCCTGATTGCCCTGGAAGGCTGGAAAGTTTTAATAAAACTTAGAGATTCTAATTTCTAAAGATGAAGTTTAGAGCCCTTCAGATTGGCCAAAGAGTGATTTTTGAAATAGGAGGTTTCCTAACATCCTTTATATCAGTGGTTTTCAATATTCATAGAATCACTCGGGATTTTAAAATACAGATGCCTGGACAGGACCCTCAGACGTTCTGATTCACTTGTTCTGGGGATCAAGCATCTGCATCTTTAAAGGCTCCCAAGTGGTCCTATTGTGCAGCCAGGGTTGAGAACCACCACCCTACTACCAAAAACCACCACCAAACTCATTGCCATTGAGTCAGTTCCGACTCATAGTGACCTCCATTGGGTTTCCAAGGCTGTAAAGCTTTACGGAAGCAGACTGTGTCATCTTTCTTCCACGGAACAGCTCATAAGTTCAAACCACCAATGTTTTGGTTAGCAGCCAAATGCCTTAACCACTCACCAAACCAAAAACCAAACTCATTCACTGCCAACAAGTCAATTCCGCCTCATAGTCAGACCAACCAAACTCACTGCCATCGAGTCAATTCTGACTCATAGCGACCCCGTTTGGGTTTCTGAGGCAGTAAATCTTTACAGAAGTAGATTGCCCAGTCTTCCTTCTGCGGAGTGGCTGGTGGTTTGAACCACCAACCTTCTGGCTAGCAGTCACATGCCTTAGGCACTGACCCACCAGAGCTCCTTACTACACCACAAGAGCCCTGTTAAAATTCATGTGCACCACCTGCTCATGGGCTTGCCATGGCACCAGACACTCTCCTCCCAATTTTTGATTGGTTGAATATGTTACTATGTGAGCAGTATTCATATATCTGTGGATTGCAAACTGAGCATATGATTTTATATATAATTTTATTTTACCTTTTTTTAATGGAGAATTTCAAACGGTCACAGAAGTAGAGAAAACAGTATAATAAACCTCATGTACTCACTCAGCCTCAATAATTATCAGCATTCTTCTGATCTTATCACGTATCACCCTCCTCCAAATACTTTTTTTTGTTGTTAGAATACTTTAAAGCAAATCCCAGACATCATACAAATTCACCTGTAAATACTTCTGCACAAATGCCTTATTTTTTTATAGTGGTGAAAATATATATGAAACATATACCCTCTCAACAATTTCTACATATACAGTTCAGTGACATTGATTACATTCTTCACATTGTGCAACCATTCTCATCCTTTTCCAAATCATTAACATAAACTCACTGCTCCCTAACAAAAACTTTTCCTTTCTTCCTCCCTCCCAACCCATTAATATCTATATATTTGCTTATTTCATATGCACGAGATCATACAGTGTTTGTCCCTTTGTGACTGACTGATTTCCCTCAGTATGATGTTTTCAAAAGTTCATCCATGTTATAACATGCATCAGGACCTCATTTCTCTTCATGGCTGAGTAGTATTCCATTGTGTGTGTATACCACATTTTATTTGTCCACTCATCTGTTGATGGACATTTCTGTTGTTTCCACCTTTTGGCCATAGTACAAACTCAGAGCTGCAATGAATGTTGGTGTACAGGCTTCTGTTTGCATTTCAGCTTTTACCTATGGGTATCTACCTAGAATTGGGATTTCTGGGTTATAAATGCCTAATTTTGACCTGGCCAAAAATAAACTATGCTTGACTTTCTGCCTTAGATACAGATATACATTCTGTCTATTGAAGAGCTTCTCAAGGTTGTCACTACTGACACTGTGGCTAGATAAGTCTTCGTTGTGGGGGTTGTCCTGAGTATTGTAGGATGTTGGCCTCTACCCACTTCCCACTTGATGCCAGTAGTTAACCCTCAATATTATAACCAAAAATATTTCCAACAATTAACAAATGTTGCCTTACAGGGGGAGGGAAAAATCCTCCCTTGGTTGAGAATCTCAAGCCTCTGGAAATCTTAGGAATATTTTCCTACATTATTTATAGTGGGGCACTTTTCTCTCCCCTTCTTGTCCTGTCCTAGAAGAGGGATATTGAAAGCAACTTTGCAAATAAGTAGTGGTCAATTAATAAATTAATCATTTCCTCAGAAGACCACAGAGAAAAATGCAAATGATTAAGTGAGTGGAAAGTACAAGGGTAAGGAATTATGGTGAAAAAGAGAGGAGGATATCGTAAATACTTTCCATGAAAACCAAGAATCTTAAATTCCACAAAATATGGAATTTAGGGGCTATAAATTTTGTGTACTTAAGTTTCCCTCTCCCTTTTTTTTTTTTTTTTAAATCAGGGTTTTACAAGTAACAAAGCTTCTATTTTGGCAGAGTCAGGCAAGCACCCGGCCCTACACCTCTCCAGGTCAAGCTTTCAGAGTAAAGTTTATTCCAGAGCCCAAAAGTTTACAGTATTCTCATCCTTATGAGGATAAGAATGTGTAGGGTCTTACCTAAATATAACATATATTATCCAAGATGAATGAGGCATTGGTGGTTCAGTGGTAGAATTCTAGGCAGGAGACCCAGGTTATATTCATGGCCAATGCATCTCATCCACAGCCACCACCCATCTACCAGTTAAGGCCTCTTCAGAGGAGCTTCCAACTAAGATGGACTAGGAAGAAAGGCCTGGCAATCTTCTCCCAAAAATAAGCCAATGAAAACCTTATGGATCACAATGGTCCAATCCACAACTGAATCACGGGGATGGAAGAAGATTGGGCAGCATTTCATTCAGTTATACATGTGGTTGCCATAAGTCGAGGGCTTACTCAACAGACAGTACAAGATGAGTCTGGTGGTGCATTTGGTCCGAGTGGCCTCTTAATCTTGAAGTGCAATGTTTTCAGTTTCCTTTTACCTTTATTGAAGTATAATCTTTTTTCTATGTCACTCTAAATTGATTTGCTCATTCATTCAGATTATGGCCATTTCTGAACTCCTGTGGAATTTATTATCAGGTCTTGGATCTAGGTGTCTATTCATGCTCTGGTAATTAAAAAAAAAAAAAAAACATTGTATGCAGTGAGGAGAAAATTAGAGAATTAGCTGCTTCTGGGGAAAAGGATCCCCTAGGAGTTTAGGACAGTTTTCAAGTTCATTAATGGCATATTTGTTTCTTAAACATTAGACTTTATTTGCCCGTCTCAAAGCGCCAAGAATATCTGCAGAGTTCCGGGGAGAAAGTGCTGGCCAGTTTCCCAGTGCAAGCCACGATTCACTTCTACAACGATGAATCTGATTCAGATGAGGACGAAGAACAACGAGAGGAAGAGATCCAACCTTCTGCCCTCCAGTGCCAGGAGGCAGAAGGCCCTATGGGAAGTGGTGCAGGGGGGAAGTGCAGGGACCACCTGATGCACCAAGAAAGTAGATATAGAGGCCTCTATGGGAAGGTTCTGCTCCCCCATGGTGACCCTCCAGGGAATGTTGAGTCCTCCTCACCCAAATAATTAGAGTCCCTCTCCCGAGTCAGCCCTGCTCTTGGACCCACCTACACACATGTCCTCTCAGGAACAGCATAGCCAGGACCCTTTGAATTCTCTGTTTGGCTTACAGAAGGTGGGGGCTCTTTGGCTCTGGTTAGCATGCCACTCATGAGTACTTTTCTTTCTCCTGTTGTCTCTCTCTATATATATATCCAACTAACAGAGACTTTATAGGACAGAATACTACTGCCCCATGGGGTTTCTAAGGCTGTAATCTTTATGGAAGCAGACTGCCTCATCTTTCTCCTGCAGAGTGCCTGGTGGGTTTGAACCACAGACATTTTTGATTAGCAGCCAAATGCTTCCACTGCTGCACCACCACAGGTCCTTATGAAATGGACCAATTCCTTGAAAGGCACAATCTATCAAAAACTCCTGCAAGGAGAAACAAATAATGTGAATAGGCCTATAGCTATTAAAGAAATTCAATCAACAATGAATAACCTTGCAAAATAGATATCACTGGGCCCAGATGGTTTCATGGGCAAATTGTACCAAACACTTAAAGAAAAATTAACATCAATCTTCTCAAACTTTTCTAAAAAGCATAAGAGGAGGGAGCACTTGCAAACTCATTCTACAAGGACAGCATTGCCAAAGATGTTACTAGGAAGGAAAATGACAGATCAGTATCTCTAATGAACTTAGATGAAAAAATTCCAAACAAAATGTTATCAAATCTAACCCAATAATGTATAAGAAAAACTATACCCCAAAACCAAGTGGGATTTGGCCCAAGTATGTAAGGTTATTTCAACATTTGCAAATCAATTAATTTAATTCATATCAACAATTGACATGAAAAAGCATCTGACAAAATTCAAAATTCATTCATAAAAACTCTCAACAAACTAGGAATAGATTAGAACTTCCTCTGCCTGATAAAGAACAGCTACAAAAAAACAAAAACTAACATCATATTTGATGGTGAGAAACTAGATCCTTTCTTCCTAATATTGAGAATAAGAAAAAGATGTCCTCTGTCACCACTCCTATTCAATATTGTACTAGAAGTCCTAGCTAACACATGGAACCTGCAGGAGAGACTGCTTAGACTTTCTTGCCCAGGAATTTCTGAAATGTTAGATTAAATGCCCAAAATCCCCTTTCACAATCCCATTTTACATTTCTAAATGCAATAACTTCCTAAGCCCCATTATAGAATCCTAGTGAAGGAAGAACACATTACTCACTGACCAAACTTAGTCACTTGCTGGGCTCAACGCACCTCTGAGCTCTACCTAATTTTTAAACATCTCAAAGGAAAGAATGACCTTTTGGGGAGCTTGTTCTTTTTTGTTAGAAGTTCTTGGCCCACATCGCCCTCTCCTGAGTTCTTAAATTATTTTCTGGCTAGAGGAGACCTAATGAATATATAACAGGCTTACAAAAATGACTCTTTGTCCCCATCCTAGAAATGCACCCAACAGAAACTAACCCGTATATCAACCAAAAGCCATGTACTGCCATACTACATTGGTCAAAGCAGCATTATCCTTAATAATCCCAAACTGGGCATGAACAGGAGAATGGATGAATAAGTGGTGATATATACATATAATATAGTTCTATTCAGCTCTGAGAATGAGTCAGGTACTTATGACTGCCCACAACAGTATGGGTGACTCTCATAAGCATAATGTTTGGCACAGAAACCAAACACAAGAAAGAACATACTTAAAAAAAAAAAAAAAAAAGCTTAGATTCTTTTATTAACTGTTATTCGTTTCTTTAGCCACTAAGCCTCTATAGGAAAAAATAGTATTTAAAAAAAAATTTTTTTTTTTTAAAGAAACATAAAGGAAAAAGTTCTAAAAAATCCTTTGGTTTCTTCCTCCATACCTCTTAGTTTTTGACTGTACTGGGTTTATTCATCAAGAACCTATCTTCTGGAGACTTTCAGTGACCTCTGAGCCATCCATCATGTAAAGGTAAAGAGGTCTCAGGTGTACTTTTAGGATAATGAGTTCAATTCTAAAATAAGACAAGAAGGAAAGATCAGTTGCTAAGATCCAGGTCATTAGGCTAGATCTGTTTGTTCTGTGTTCAAAATGAGGATCTTAAATTTCTTTAAACTCCAAGATTAGGTTGTTAAACAACGTGGCAGGATCAATATCCAAATTTAATTATAAGGCCTAGAGTTTCAAAAATCAACAATATGAAACAATAATGATCATCAGAATTTTATAACTTGGGGTCTCTTCAGATACATCCAACACTATCTGCAAACTTAGAAGTTTTAGTTATAGCTACCACATAGATTTTTTTAAAAGTTTATTTTAAAATACATTTTTATTGAAGTGTAACAGATACAGAGAAGTGTGCAAATGCGAAGTACTTGGTGAGTTTTCACACATAAGACCCTCTCTTTTAACCACCAGCTAGGTCCAGAAATAGAAGATTACTATCACAACTGAATCCTTTCTCCTCCCAGCTACCACAAAGGTAACTACTATTCTAACTTCTAATACCATACATTTGTTTTGCTCAATTTTGAACTTTATATAAAAGGAATCATATGGCATGTGCTCTTTTGTGTCTGTTTTCTTTTACTTGACATTGTGTATGTGAGAATGACTCATTGTTCTATGACATTCCATTGTAGGAATACACCACCATTTGTTTATTCATTTTTTTGTTGATGGATATTTGGATTGCTTCCAGTTCTTTGACTATTATGAGTAATGCTTTGTTATGGATTGAATTATGCCCCCCAAAATATGTGTTGTAAATCTTAACCTCTATGTCTGTGGTTATAATTCCTTTTGGGAACAGGCTCTCTGTTATGTTTATGAAGCATGATTAGTGTAAGGTATATTTTGAGTCCATCTCTTTTGAAATATAAAAGAGAAAAAATGCAAGCTAGCGAGACAGATGGGGTAAAATAGATGCCAAGATACATGGAGATCCCCAAGGAACCAGGAAACAAGCTAGAGAGACAATGACCTTCCTCCAGCGCCAACAGAGAAAGCCTTCTCCTAGAGCCAGCATCCTGCATTTGGACTTCCAGCCTCCTAAATTGTGAGAAAATAAATTTCTGTTTGTTAAAGCCATTCATTTGTAGTATTTCTGTTATAGCAGCCCGAGTTATCTAACTTAGTTATCTAAGATATGCTGCTGTTGAACATTTTTGGGTATGTTTTTGGTGTACATATGTGTACATTCTGTTGAGTATATATATCTAAGAGTGGTTGTGGGTCATAGGGTATGTATCTGGTTAGCTTCAATATAAATCATTTTATTTTGCTAACATCTAGAAAGCCACTTGAAGTGATTTAAGTGTAAACACAGTTAAATGCAGAAATTTCCTAAATATAAACACACATTCATTCTTCTTCAGAGTTGACCTGAACAAACACTGTCATAGGATAATTGAATATCAGTCACAAAGTTACTGAAGTGTGTTGTCTCACAAACATAACTTCTTCTGAAGACATCATCTCCTGTGGGCTCAGCCCTCAGGAAACATGCCCCACGTGAACTTCCGGCATTCCTGCAAGGGCTCTCAGTGAACTCTGAAGAAGCATGGATATGTTCACTGCCCTTGACCTAAAAGAAAACATTGTTTGCTCAGCTTTCCTCCTAAGGCTTGTGAATCAATAGATTTTTTGCTTGTTTTTAAAAAACTTAGTTATTACCACATAATAATTTCCACTTCTCTATTGTTTTTTGAAGCTCTTTGGCCCTCTGACTCCCAGGAGAGCTAAAAACTCTTATCTATTACCAGTTCTGGGAGGCATAGGTGGTTCAGTGGTAGAATTCTCACATTCCATGTAGGAGACCAGGGTTCCATTCCTATCAGTATAACTCATGTGCAGCTAGTACCCATTTGTCAGTGAAGGCTTGCATGTTGCTAAGATGCTGAATAGGTTTCAGCAGAACTTCCAGACTAAGATAGACTTGGAAGAAAGGACTGATGATTTACTTTCCAAAATCAACCAATGACAAAACTATGGATAACAATGGTTTGATCCCCAACTCATCATGGGGATGGTCCAGGACTAAGCATCAGTTTGTCCCTCTGTGCACAGGCTCACCAAGAGTGGGGGCTGCCTTGATAGCAGCTAGCAACATGATCAGTTACAGGGTAGCTGTGAACTTATAAACTATCCCATGCCATAAGTTTATCCCTGACCTGCTACCCTAATATTTGGATTCAAGCCAAAGAACCCTGAATCAGTCCATGATGCTTCCAATAGGATGTTTTCATGTAACAGGTCGATCTTAGAAATCCAAAGGATTTTCTCCCAATGAACAGAAATTCCGTGGCATAGTGACTGTGATAGTTGGAGCTGTGTGTCAACTTGGCTGGACCCCAGTTCTGTGTGGTTGTTCCCATGATGGGATCAGATGACTGTGTTCTGAGTGGCCAATCTGCCCAAGGGGAGTTTCCCTAGAGGTGTGGCCTGCTTCCAGGATATCCAGGGACATCCTGGGAAGAGAGACATTCTTCTATGGGTTGGGACTCTGGTGTGCTGCCTACAACCTTCCGTGAGTGAGCAGCCCATCACTTGGCCTGGAGATCTTGGATTTGTCTTTC